TCATTTGCACCCCCCCCTCAAACTTTCGATTTGCACTCCCCCCCACCCCTCAAACTTTCAATTTGGCGCCCCCCCCCCCCTAAGGTCGGCGCCCGGGGACATATGTCCCCCCCCGCCCCCCCCCCCTCGCTACGCCTCTGAGTCCCGCCACTGACCGCATTTCTACCCTAGCACCATCCCAAGCAACTGTGATTTATATTCATGTAAGGAGTATAAACTTTTGTAATTTAACATGTTCTAATTGTTTTAACGTTTGAAATTACTCGTTAAACCAAATTTAACAAAAAGCCGGTAAAATACATTGCAAGCATTCCCCACCCCGTCGAGATCCAGGAATTGCGTGTTTGTGTAGCGAGGAAGAAATCTGCTAACTTGACAGAACAGGATCTGAAGGAGTTTTGTAACCAGATGTTCATAGACACCAGCATCTCCCCAGAAGAAGTTCCGAAAAAATTCTTTATCGTAGATTCTTTCCCGAAAACTTTCACGGGGAAAGTCCGGAGGAAAATGGTGGAAAAACTGGCCACTGAACACTTCCAACAATGATTGGCTACACGCAGCCTTCGAGTCTATGTGTCATCTTTTATAGATTTTGAACTCAATTTTGTATCTACATTTTACGAGGTTTCCTAAAATAATATTTTAATTTTCAAATCAAATTTACCTTTGTAGTAATCGTCAAATAAAGCAATAAGACGGTAAGATAAAAAATTGTATACAAGCGTGTCACAAGCGTGTCAAGTGTCACTTGCTGACAGTAGTGACACTGCTTGATGGTGTTGTTTTTAATGTCATAAGGTCAACTATTGTAAAAAAAAATATTTCCTTGAGTTTCATTTAAACATGGCCAAACCTGAAGATGACTAAACATATAAATGTAGAAGTTAAAATACGACAAAATTGCGGATTTTTAAGAATATAAGTTTAATGCAAACACTGAATAATGAAACATGAAAGTTTTAATTTAACGATTGAGTTAAAATATACGATTTTCAAAATATAAGCGCACATATATATGCGTCATAACACAACATTAAAAAATATTCATGCTTTCAATGCAGTTTTTTATGCCCTCACTAGCCTTTTGTGCAACACCACTACATTAGCAATAACTGAAAAACTAGTTGTTTTATTTTAATACTTCAGTAGGCTACTTTGGAACGTTTTATTTGTAATATTTCTAATGCGTAAAAAGGCTACATTTACGTTAACACCTTTTTTTAACAGATTAAACCGTTTTAAAAGTTTTTTCTTAAAATAATATTTTTAAACTTTACCTTATTAAGCAGAGATACATTACTTTGATGACGATGAATCTAAGTGTTGTAATTGTTAATCAACTCAATTTTAGATGGATGACAAAAAGTTAAAGTGGGTGTGGTTGTGCCTAAAAATTGGGTCACGAAAATAATGAGGTCATGGGCTAAAAAACGGCCTGGTACAATGAATAAAATGGAGTTTAATGTGGTTAGAGACCTTAGTTATATTAAACAGTTTTTTAAATAATTGCATTTTTGTCACACAATTTCTGCTTTTAAAGATGTTGAATATTACAATGTGAAGACACAGAAGAAATTGTAAAGTCTGCCTGTCTGTCTGTCTGTCCGTCCGTCCTAGTAAACTCAGCTATGGTCAAACTGTCTTAGTACCTTCCAGATGCCACTGTAAAGCTGACATAAAGTTGACCAACGTTGACATCCATGCATAAACTTTTGTATTTTCGTTCTTGAACATTCTAGAATTTTACAATTATCCAGCTTATAAATTCACACACACACACACACACACACACACGCACACACACACGCACACACACACACACACACACACACACAGAGAGGCAAACGCTGATTACAAGCACACATTCAGAGATAACACACACTCATAAATGTACATATAAACAAACACAGATAAAAACCACCCCCCCCTCACACACATACAGATTCTCAAACGCACTCAAAGATACACATATTGAAACACACGCTCAATTGCACACCCCAAAACACACACATAGACACGACACAAAATCAAACACACTCAGATACACCCCTACACAAACACACACACACACACACACACAAAGGTTGCATCAGCTAGGTACGTCACGAGATAAAAAAGTTAAACTGGGTCGGGAAAGTCCCAGTGACGTGGTAGGATGACTAATCTGGCTGGCAGGTATGGAGACAGGTACGGGGGGGGGGGGGGAAGACAGGTGGGGGAGGGGTAAGTGAGTCATGTGACAAAATAGTGTGCCAATACAAAAATGTAAGCGATGTAATCGTTTTAAAAAGTCGAATGTATTTTATGCAACTGCTTGGTTCAAACAATTTGATACAATCTGCTGTTTAAAAGCATTGCACATGAGTGAATGAAATAAGACTATTCCGAGCAAATGGCTTTAAAACATCTCGACCATTCATTGATACCGATAACAAGCAAGGAAACATTTGCTAAATGTAGGTCAAGGTTGATACTTTAAATTCAAACAGGAAGTTTAAGATTGTCTACTGAATAGTAGGCCTAACGCAATTTGTAAGTAAAGACAGCAATTAGATAAAAATCGTTTGATTAAAAAAAATCCACATGTAACCTAGTATATAGCCACTGAAACAGGTAAACCTCAAAGATGTTAGGTCGCTCTCACTTTATTTTTGGAAAATTTAATGGGAATTCCCGTTTCGTTTCTGTTTCCGAAACCGATCTTAAACATTCAGGGAAATCCCACTCGCTAGTATATATAAGTTTTGAACCTCGCTTTGACTACTTCAAGCTCCACGATCTAAAACACATTGAAAAACTTCCTCACAGCGGAATAAACGCATTTATATCAACAGTGCTGACTTTCAACTGATGATAATTAAAGTTTATATTTTCAAGGCTGATTCAAGTAAGAATAACCAAATAATTGTTATTTGTGTTATTAATTAAGTCTTAGTAGAATGTAACCTTCTATAGTATAGTAGTTTAATTATTTAAATCTTTAGGTCTATTTGTTAAAAATTTGATTGGAAAAAAATGTAGCGGTACTAAAACGAATCGTGCTCACTTTAGTTTAGCTTTTAATAAAATCTCTATCAAACTTTTATTAAAGTTATAATATGACATAATAATTTGGATGAAATTTCTACTTCATTCTTAATTATTATCTCGAACTTGGTTTCCTCTAACACATTAAAGTATTACATGTAAACATGTTTACCGAACAGATCACGACGATAAGATGTATTTTAACGCGCTAAGAATGTTCTAGAACACAAATTAAAGCGACATTGTATGCACAGGTAGAACACAATCAAAGATAGAACACAACCACAAACAGAGCACAATCCAACAATCAACAGAGAAACAGCAAACATGTCGTCTGTCGGCCCACGAGTTGCCGCCCTTGCGCTGTCGTCCAGTATGGAGAACGGCAGGACGGGAAGTGACGTATCGGATGGAATGACCGCAGCTGTACGTACGGCCCGTGACGTCAGTCAGGAACCCGTCCTTGAGGAAAATTATCGGATACTGAAGTATAGGCTGCTGGGGCTAATCGATAACTTTCTCAATAAGGTAAGTCTAATCGATAACTTTTTAAATAAGTTAAAACTAATCCATAACTTTCTAAATAAGTTAAGTAACTTTTTGTGGAACAAATCGATACTTTTGTGGTCTGGCGTAAAATGTTCACACAGACAAAAACTGCTTTTATATGTTCACTATTATAACATCTGTTTATTTTATATTTCCTCTAAATGTTCACTATCATAACATCTGTTTATTTTATATTTCCGCTAAATGTTCACTATTATAACAGCAGTATATCCCCATTATTATAACAGCAGTATATCCCTACTATTATAACAGCAGTATATCCCCACTATTATAACAGTAGTATAACCCCACTATTATACCAACTGATAACTTTCCTCCCCAGTACACTTCATGGATCACATGGATGGACGCCGGGTTGAAAGCCAAAATTTACAAATCTGCCAGTGGTTCGATAAATATTTCACAGCAAGAATTTCCAGAGTTCACAACCACCCAGGTGTGTTTTGTGTACCATTCTATTTGATTTACTAACAACTTCTTCTGATTAATAATTAAACAATTACTTTTCTGAATTTTAATTAAAGAATTAGACTTGCAAATAAGTTACCAAAAACCTACCTGTAACAACCCACTCGTAACAGCCCACCATTAACATCCCACCCACGTTTAACAACTCACCCACATGTAACAACCCACCTGTAACAACCCACTCGTAACAGCCCACCATTAACATCCCACCCACGTTTAACAACTCACCCACATGTAACAACCCACCTGTAACAACCCACCTGTAACAACCCACCTGTAACAACCCACCTGTAACAACCCACCTGTAACAACCCACCTGTAACAACCCACCTGTAACAACCCACCTGTTTACCCTCCCCAGTACTCCCGGCTCTACCGTCTGACCCAGCTCTCCGCCTACGCCTATTACATCAAGTCACAGGTCAGTGACCCCAGCTACGGCGCAGCTGCCTGCCAAGACATTCAAAACATAACATCCAATCTACAGATGACATCATCCTGCCTGAAACAACTGGTTCAACCTGACGTCACGAACGACGCCATCTACAACTTTGTGACGCAGCACGTCACCACGCCAGAAATCCCCATCCAGAACCAGCGGTCCGCCGTCAAAAGGGCGTTCACTGCCACCGTCCTAACTTTGATGAAGGACACCATGAGTTCTGGTTCTTTCTCTTGATGATAACATGTTGCGCAGTTCACATTTGGTTGAGTTAAACATTTAATATCATTGAAGCCTACGCATGTTGACCAATATAGAACTAAAAATATTTTTGCGCATAATTAATTATATTTCCATTTGTATAAAAAGAATGCGGATCATACCATGTGTTGTTAACCATGCAGTATTTTTAAAACTTTCAATTATGCAACTACCTCTCAAAGGTTATTATCAAAAGTTCATTAACATTGCATTTAATTAATGTATTGATATATCCTGCATTACTTTAAAAGTGTTGTTCAAAATTATTTTATACATTGAAGTTTACAATTCTGCTTGTGCCATTTTCTGGCAGATTTGTGTGTTGTAGATATTTATTATTGTATTGATAAACCTTTCAATATTGGATGTATAAAAATGTATTACATGTATTTGTTTTAAATAATTGTTGTTACAATAATGAGTCATTAAAAATTTAAAGTAAGTGGGTTTTTTTTGTGATTATCTGGTTAACTTTGGGAAGATCTACCGAGAAATATCGTTTTTATTTATTTAAATCAGAAAGACCCTTTGTAATACAAATAACGACTAGACTGTAAGCATTTAAAAAAGAGCGATCATTACACATTAAACTTCAGACAAATTTTCACATTTTTTTAAAATAGCAGTCATTATAGGCATACTTGAGATACAGAAGATCACAATTTATAAAACCGAGCAAGCGGTCATTATAATTAAAATATTCACAGTCACGAATCATAAAACTTAGATGTCATTACTTTGAAGGTTAAATTTCATACAAATAAATTCGACAGTGAATGAAACTTTACAAGCAAGGCTGCATATTAAACTTCTAATTAAGTGGAGAGGCAGAGGGTTCAAAAAATGCTTTTTTTTTTGGGGGGGGGGGGGGGTGAGTAATCAAAAGATGACTTGTAACAATAAAATGAAACATTAATTGCAAATGAAGTGGAAGATGCTATTTGAAGCCTCGTTAATTTTTATATTTAATTGTATGCAGCAGTTTGTTGAAAGAGTTGATGGGGGGGGGGAAGAGACGGTCGGGTGGGGGGGGGGGGGGGAGGGAACATACCGAATTAATCCAACAGTCGTTAATCCTGTTGATGTTTATGATACTGAATGGTTGAATCCCACTCGACGTGTATTCTCAAGCCGCTTTTCCCTTTTGTCTTTTAACCACAGGATAAAAACTGGCAGCCAGGGTGATAAAACACAGTCCAAATTAATCCATCGCTAATCACCTGTCATTCACTTCACACGGCAATCGGCTTCAACTGCCTGGTAGTTGTTTTTTTTCTGCTAATTTGTCGTTTTTTTATCTTTTAACAGGGGTATTAGCAGATTATGCCGCATAGACATTGACAAATTTACCTGTTGCTTTCGTTAGCGGATAAATTAGTGCCACAGCAGCGCTGGAGATGATTTTAACGAACATGGTTAATTGTGTGGGTAAGGGGGTCATCCATTTGTGACGTGCACACGGAGCGACTTTCGTGGACGCGTACGGACCGGGTGGGGGGGGGGGTCATTGTGGACGTCCACGTGTTGAATTTATTAAAAGACTGTTTTTAAATTGTAGGTTATGCATTATGAAGATCTATATGTATTAGTAATTTTGCCGCATGTTTTGAGTGGTCTACTAAATTTTTGTGGTCGTCGACATTGAGGGGGGGGGGGTTGTCGAAAGTGGACGCGTGTGGACGGGTGGAAGGGGGGTCTAAAATTCCAAATGTTTGTGGCCGTCATAATGAAGGATGAAGCCTAAGTAAGATGAAGGGGTGACACCAAGGCAAACATTTTTTTTTACATAGAAAACAATATTTCTTACATAGGCAACAATTTGTGCTTGAAAGTGAACATATTGACGCTCTTCGATTAAATAGGGTATTGCGACACCAATTGAAAATTGTTAACATATTACAGAGAAACTTTATTAAAGTTAAAGACATCATCCAGCGGAAATTGGTTTTACACCGTATTGTCAGATAGCAATCGATATTCGGTAACAGTTAACGATCGCTTTAAAGTTACACACTCAGAGTTTCTTTCAGACTTTTTTCTCCTGGGAGGGGGGGGGAGCACTTGAAACTTTGGGGAGGGGGGAACTAAATGGTAAAACTATATTTTTCAAATAATTATATTTCGATCAAGGGGGAGGGGGTAGTTTACAGGCAGAATCACATCATTTACCGTACATTTCAGTAGTGCAGAGACGATTCGGTATAGTTTTCAAGCGAAGGTTTTTTAAATAGCAACTCTACTGTATGCCAGTAAATCTCAATGGGTGGTTGAAACCTATACACAACTCTCGTCATCTTTTAAATCAAATAATTTTGGGAGGTTAGCTCGTGCTGCTGAACGAAAAATTTCAAAAATTCACGTGTTCAAACCTCCCGGCAGACGATGCTCGATACCTGGGGACAGCCGCCATTCTAGAAAAGACAACTCCAAAATCAAACAACTGCTGCAGTGCAGTTTTTTTTGTTTGTAAAAAGGCTATGGAAGAAAATCTAAAAAGAAAAGTAGGCTGAAATCGGAGTCAACGGCGTGTATGTCGCAAAACATATTGGCACGTAATAATTAATTGTGTTGGAGGGAATCCCTTGCAAAATTATAATTAAGAACAAAGAAGAAGAAAATTAATTTTTTGTTAAACACGTTTATGCTTTTTTAAATTGAAATATTTTATTTTTATTTTTTTGTTCCCTTGTTAACATTAGTGAATTTCAGGTTGGCAAAGATAAAACAGAGAATGTATTCTGTGATCCCCTCTCATATCATCACGTGAACCCCATAACATTGTATCACGTTACGTTGATGGTATAGAGTCAATATAGGCGAAAACACGTCACTTTATAATTACAAATATATATATATATATATATATATATATATATATATATATATATATATATGTATATATATACATATATGTATATGTATATATATATATATATATATATATATATATATATATATATATATATATATATATATATACATATATATATATATATACATATATATATATATATATATATATATATATATATATATATATATATATATATATATATATTATATATACATATATATATATATATATATATATATATATATATATATATATATATATATATATATATATATATATATATATATATATATATATATATATATATATATATATATATATATATATATATATTATATATATATATATATATATATATACGAGCCGACCGCTGCGCATCATAAGCCGCTAGTTAGTTGTTTTTTTTTTTCTACTTCTCAGTAATTTATAATTTGTGAATTAGACAGTACCAATGCTGCCATTGAAAATATTTGCTTAAAAACACTAACCCCCCCCCCCCCCCCACGTGAAAGCAGCCTCCTCTTAGTTACCTCCTCTAAGTTTAAAATCGTTTCAAACTAAATTATCTGCCCCTAATAGCCGTCACCAAACCCGTCTCTATGATTGTAAAATGTAAACAGAGTGAACACCGCTCACCAGATCATGTGGGGGGTGGGGTGGGGGGTGGTAGTGATAGTGATAGAGAGAAAAAGAGGGGACTGCAAGGAGGCGCTTGCAGCTTGTATATATATATATATATATATATATATATATATATATATATATATATATATATATTATATATATATATATATATAATATATTTAATATACATGTACTTATATATCTATAAATATATTTATATATAGGGCTACATGCATAAAAGCAGTTTTTTGAGACGATAATCCCCCCCCCCCCCTCTCACCACGACAAATGACTGACTCCGCGACAAAGCGGGACTTAACGTTTTAATTCACTACCGTGTTGATTACAACAATGAAATAATTTATGCAAACGTTAGATGAGAGCAGTATCTGTTGGATCTTTAAGATCATATATTTTTGATCTGACATGTTGATGGGAGAGACAAACTTTGAAGCCTTCACAAATACAATTTTGTTGTTTGCACTATTGACTCAACTTCCTAGTCGGCTAAAATAATGTAGGCTCATATTTATAATAAATAAATATATACTGCCTATATATATATATATATATATATATATATATATATATATATATATATATATATATATATATATATATATACGCAATCACAAACGCAAAGACGAATACAAAAACAAGAGAAAGCACATACTTAACCAAACGTAAACTCAATCAAAATCGCAAACACAACTCAAACACAAAAGAAAATGAAAACACAAACGCAACACGCAAACGTAAACAGAAAACACAAACGGAAAAAAAAGAAAACAAACGCAAACAATTGCAAACTCAAACAAAACGCAAATAAAACGCAAAACACAAACGCAAACACAAATACAAAAGAAAACACAAATGTAAAGAAACGCAAACTCAAACAAAAACCAATACACAAATTCAAACGCTTAATCAAATGGCTTTATGAAACAATCCAACGTGCATACAAATGCTCTCACGCACCGCCGAACAGCACGTTTTCCTGGGCGTCCGGCACAGTGACATCCTTTCCCACATTCGTTTTCTCCGAAAAAAATAGATCTCTCTCTCTCTCTTTGTGTGTGTGTGTTTGTGTGTGTGTGTTGATGTGTGGATGTGTGGCTGTGTTTCTGTAAACACGAAACTTGATGAAATTGTATATATTAGTATAATATCAAATGTGTAGTTTTGTATCAACTTGTCAGCGATTTCCGGTAATCAGAAGTGAAACATTCTACTTTTGGTTTTTTTAAAAGCCTATAACTTGGGTGATGTTTCTAGATAAATGAAATTAATTTCACATATACGTAACAGATCTAATTCTCTGCTTTCTGTCTGTCAAAGTTTGTGTAATTTCCGTTGACCGGAAGTAGTTATTTCCTGTTACTCAACGGACAAAATTGCAAACGCAGTTTTTCCGACTCGGGGAGGTGTAAAACGTCGAGATTTGTGAAAATCTCTATTTCGATTTTTTGCACGATTACAATACTTCCTCTTACACTTCGTATACGAGAAAGTGAAAGTTAATTTATATGACTTACTGTAACTCAATATAAATTCCACTTTTACAAAAAGTCATCTTCTGAAAAGTGGTGATGGAATACTGTATTCACATTTTATTTTTTGTTAGTCCGGCCCATCTAAATATAATAATACCACAACACGGTATCAACTTCCGTGATGTAAGATCATACTCAGGAAACAACTCAATGTACAACTACTCACAATAATTCTCTCACCCGCCCAATGATTTGCATAAT